GAGATCTGCAAGAACCTCAAGGGCAAGACCCAGAGCGGTGCCCTGGGCACGGGGGGTCCCACAGCAGCTGCCCCTCCCCCTCCCTGCTCCTCCGAGAAGAGCGGGCAGTGCCCCAGTGGGCAGCCCTCACGGGTGAGCAGCGTGCGCACCATCTCCCGTGCCAAGATCCGCACGGTGAAGATGACCTTTGTCATCGTGGTGGCCTATGTCGCCTGCTGGGCTCCGTTTTTCAGCATGCAGATGTGGTCGGTGTGGGATGAGGATGCTCCTGATGATGGTGAGTAGTGGTGGGGATACTGGGCTGCAACCCAGAGCAGGCGCAGAGCCCTGGGCACCCAAGACACACCACGTGCCTGTTGTGTTTTTAACAGACAGGAGCTGTCTGTTATTTTGTCACTTTAAGAATCGTGGGGATGGTGGCTGCAGGGCTGCTCCCCAGCTGTACTTATAGAAAACTGGCTGCAGAATTAAATAGCTTTCACCAGTAACACTTTTCATTTATACATCACCCGTAGGGATTGTAAAGATGTTGTGGGAACATCTCTGCCACGTGTGTCTCTTCCCTCATGAGGGAATTTGCTTCAGGAGCTGCTGTGTTTGGTGTGTGGCTGCAGGGAGGGTTTGAACTGCCCCTGCTGCTCCTGTCCTCCATCAGGACAGTCTCACAGAGCAGCAGGAGCGGGTCCTGCACATGTAGGGTCGAGTACCCTGAGGTTTGGCTGAGCCAGCGGCAGAGGTTTCAGGAGTGGATTTCTGATTTCATAAGTTGACTTTTTCCCGTAATTATTCAGTAGCTCTCCTAGCCTGGTCATGGGTAGGAGGAACTTTATCCAAGATTGAAAGGCCTCTGAGAGATGCTTTGTTCAGTAAAGAGGCTGAAGGAAGGTCCAAAGGCTGCTGGGTCCCATCTCCCAGCCCTCTCCCTGAGGATGTGCTCCAGCACATCCAGTTACAGCACATCACCCACCTACAGCCCTCAGCCAAGGCTGCAAAATTGGGTCTCCTACCCAAAGAAGCACCAGTCAGATGGGATGGGAATGGGACAAAGGACACATGCTAGAGCCAGACCCCCAGTGTCCTGCCCATCACACACTGGGACCCTGCCCAGCCTGGCTGATGTCTCAGCTCTCTCCTTTGCCTTCCCAGAATCCACCAACGTGGCTTTCACCATCACCATGCTGCTGGCCAGCCTCAGCAGCTGCTGCAACCCCTGGATCTACATGTTCTTCAGTGGACACCAGCTCCAGGATGCAGCACGTTGCCTGTCCTGCTGGGCTGGCCCCCGGCCCAGGCTAAGGAGACAGGCTTCCATCGGGAGCCTCTGCAGCAGGAAAACCACCATCCTGAGCCACAGCCACCACGCCAGCCCCACCAGCCTCCCCCTGCATGGGGACAGCACCAAGGACTTCTACCCACCCTGTGAGGAGGTGGTGACCGAGTCAGGGGTGCTCTAGGCTGCAGATGTCCCCAGGCACATCCCTCCACTGAGGACAGCTGCCACCAGATGTGACACCACAAACATTGTCACTGCAGAGCTGACTCTCCCCACCTGGTAGCGTTTCATTTTGCAGACAGTTGTGTTCTTAACCCAGAAAGCATCTTTGCTGCCCACCTTACCCTTGTGTGCTTGTGACTGCATCTGCTGGGAGCATCAAGGAGGACAGACAGAGCCCCCGCAGCCATTGCCCATCCACAGCACCCACCTCCCTCGTGGATTGGGGATGCTCTCACTGCCTGGCTGCTCTCCTCCAGGAACACCTCACAACCCAGGTATCTGCTGGGGGATGCTGCACCAACGTGTCCTCCCAGAGGGACCAGAGCTTCGGGTGTTTGAGAGATGCCAGCAAAGCAGCCTGAGCACAGCAGGAGGCAACATCTGCTCAAGACATCCCTGAGAGCAAGTCACTCCCCTCCCCTCCCCTCCTCAGGGCTGTGCGGCAGAGCCAGACACCCTGCCCACCTCCCCGGGGGCAGGACAGGGCTGGGGCAAAAGCTACGGGGCAGAAATGTCCTCTCCTGTTGTACACAGCTGTCCTGTGACCACACAGCAGCTTCACATCACTGGTGTGAGCATCCAAAATGCAGCAGTGACACCAAAGAGCTGCTCGGAGCATCCCCGGCCCAGCTCCAGCTTACCCAGGCAGATCCTTTGCAGGAGGAACCTTTGTAAGGGATCTCTGAGCCCTGGGACAGGCTGCCCAGAGAGGCTGTGGAGTCTCCATCTCTGGAGACATTCAAAACCCACCTGGACACTTTCCTGTGCAACCTACTGTAGGGAACCTGCTTTGGCAGGGGGGTTGGACTGGATGATCTCTTGAGGTCCCTTCCCACCCCTGTGATTCTGTGATCCTGCCTCCCTCCATGTCCCAGCACTTCCCATCAGTTTTACTCACACCCCTGCTGCCATGCAGGGTGGCTCCACGCTGTTCAACAGCTGCTGCATCCCATTAAAGAGCTGCTGGCAAATCGCTGCTGCTTTTGTCTTATTTAGCAGAGATCAGAGTGTGGAAACCACCCAGAGCTTGGAGATGGCTCCAGGGAACTTGGGAGCACAGAGGAGGGGCAGCCAGCAGTGGAGAACAAGCCATGGCCTGGCAGTCCCAGCCCCTGCCCCTCTCCCTGGGTGTCGTGGGGCTCCTCGAAGCTGTTTGGTTTAAGAGGAAGCACGGGTGGGGGAGGCAAGAGCATCCGTTTGCGCTGGGAGTCGAGCGCAGAAGCTGCTGATGCAGGATGGACAAATGCCCCAGTGAACACCGAAGGTACCGAGTTCCCTGCAAGCAAGGTGCACTATTCCCTCTATTATCACAGGCTCAATCTGTAAAAATAAGACACTAAGAGTTAAAGTATTTTGAAATCTTAAATTATTTTCACTTTTTATCACTGAGCATTTGAATCAGTTTTTCCAGAAACCCCCACCAGCTGTTTCTGACCCATCTCCAGCTCCATAAACACACCTCTCCTGGCCTTTAGCAACATTTCCCAGAGATTATTTGGGGGGAGGAGGGGTTTGAACATTTTCCTTCATGCATCCCTCAAATTAGGCCAGATTTGCACATCAAGGTCATAAAACCAGGAGTGTCCAACTCCCCCAGGATCGATACCGAATCAATGGTCTCACAACCTTTCATTAAAGCCCATCGCTGCGGAGCTGATTTGAAATGCACTTGGGGAAGCTCCATCCCTGATGGGGGGGGGTTGTACTGGGAGGCAGCAGCTCCATCCCCCTCACAGAGCTCCCAGCTCTCACATGGTTCCTCTTCCCCAGCACTTTGAAGGATTATTTCTTAAAAAAATCATAAGTATTCAAATGCAGAGTGATGGGAAGGAACCAGCTCCATTTACAGCAGCTATTTGCTGCAGCAGAGTGAGGACAGTGAGCTCCAGCCACGGGGGGGGCTGGCCAGGCACTGGATCTCCTGGGTCTCAGGAGCATGAAGGTGACTTGACAAATATAATCAGTGCCCAGCAGGGAAAGCAGCACCTCTGAGAAAATAACAGCCTGCCCAGCATAACCAGTTCACAATCCCAAGCTTATCTCTGCAAGCTGGAGAGCCCCCAACTCAATTTTGTTAGAGAAAATTGCCACGCTGTACATTGAATCTCCTGGGAATTAAACCAATTCCTCAGGAAAATGTGAAATGTGGTGTCAGAGCATAGGGGGGACAGTGACATGTGCCCCAGCCCAGGGTGCTGACCCCCCCCTCTGAAGCTCTGCTGGGTATCACTCAGTGGGGAGAAGCCAAATCCTGCACCCAGGGCATTGGGTGTAGGGACAAAGCAGGAAAAGCAAAAGATGTGAGACAGGGAATATCACCCCTCCCCACGTGACACAGAGGGATGTGACCTGCCTGCACTCACCTGGAGACCTGTGGTCCAGTCCTGTGCCCCTCACAGCCCAGCAGGACCAGCAGCCAACCCAGGTCCTCCCCCTGAGGAGGGGGGATATAAATCCCCTGGGAAGCCCCCGGTTGTTTCCCAGCTGGGCTGATGGTTACGGCTTCCAGCTGGGGGAGGAAAATCCCTGGGGGGGGCCACCCTCCTTCCCCAGCCCTGACATCCCCCCGATGCCTGCCCAGGGGTCAGTCACCCACGCAGCCACCCCAACCCCAGCAACAGCTCTGAGGGTGATGGGGACTTGGACAGATTTTGAGTATCAGAGGAAAAGGGGTGCAGGGGAGGGCGATGAATCAGGGCAGCGAGGGGAAAGCCAGTGCTTAAAAACTGTGTTTTGAAGGGTTTTATGACAGCAATCAGCAGAGAAAGCACGGTGCAGAGGAGATGCCAGCCAGTTCAGAGGAGATGCCAGCCAGTTCAGATGGGTATTTTGAAGACCATGGCATTTCCCTCCAAGAACTACATCCCATTTTGAGGGGCAGGAGGGGACGTTTCATTTGCTTTCATGTAATTCAAAAAAGGGCTGTCACACAAAACTGGAGAGCACAGTCCAGCCTGGGCAGGAGGAACACTCCCCTCTGCCATCCCACACTCAGCAGCCTCCAGGAACAGAGATGCATTTAAGTGAAATACCAAGTGAATTCTATCTGCGGGTGACAGTGTCACAGGGAACAAAGCTGGCAGGCGTCAGCCCGTGCCAGGCACTGACTGAGGCGTGGGAAGGGGAAGCTCTGGTCGTGGGGCTGCCGGGGGCTTTGAGCATCTCCCCATCACAGCAGCGGTCTGACCCCAAACCCCACCAGCAGCATCCTGGGGGTCACAGCTTCACCTCGGTGTACTCCATGGGCTTGGATGCCACAGGGCTGGAGCAGGACCAGAAATCCACTTTCCTCTTTTTGGGGTCCACGTTGACATAATCCGCCCCAGTCTTCATGTTCTCGTAGTCCCCGATGGAGCCTGGCCCACGGCTTTTTCCTGGGAAGACCAGGGATGTGTAATTGAGGTTTTCTTCCAAGCGAGGACCCTGCAGAAGCACACACAAACCCCAGGTCAGGCACTGGCATCCCCCCGGGGCAGCTTTGCCCTTGAACCCACATGAAGGCGAAGGTCTGTTCAAGACGCCTGGGATGTGCCCAGGGATCTCTGAGCCCTGGGACAGGCTGCCCAGAGAGGGTGTGGAGTCTCCATCTCTGGAGATGTTCAAAACCCACCTGGACACTTTCCTGTGCAACCTGCTGTAGGGAACCTGCTTTGGCAGGGGGGTTGGACTGGATGATCTCCTGAGGTCCCTTCCAACCCCACCAGTCTGTGATTCTGTGATTCTGTGATTGTCTCCCCAGTTCCTGGGGATGCTTCCATCTAAATGGGAATGTTGTGTATGGCAGGTGACACCCATCACCCCACCCTCGCCACTGGTATTTCAATGTCTCTGCCCCCCTGTTGCTGCTCTGTGGGTCTCAGGGTGGGCAGGAGCCGCACGGACACGGTGCTGGCAGCTCCGGTGCTGTGGCTGTGGTTGCCTTTGGCAAAGGTTTCTGCCCACGGCCGTACCTGGGGGCAGGAAGGGCTGCTGTCCGAGTCCTCCGAGGTCTCTGAAGACGTGTCACTGCTCCCTTAAAAACAGGAAACATTACCACTTCCATCGCTGCTTGGGGAGGGTTAAAGGAAAATAAAAATTCAGGGAGAAAAAGTAAAATGTGCTCGAGAGTGAAAATTGAAAATCCAAAAAGCATCAGTGTGACCCCTCCCTGCTTCACCCACCCACCCGTGGGGACCGGGGCAGGGACAGCCCCACGGAGGCAGGAGCAGCTGGAATTGTGAGTGGGTCTTGTGCCTGCCCATCACACAGCTGCTTGCTGCCTCTGCCACCCCAAGGCCAACAGCTCTAGGTCTCCACAGCTCCTTAAGGAAGAGAGTGTTGCACAAATGCAACACCACACCTTCATATTCACGTGCTGGGACAAACCCCCGCTGCTGCAGGATCCCCCCTTACCCGCGTAGGTCGGTCTCTGCACCCCTTCCCCTCCCGCTGACGAGCTCGGGGGCTGCTGTGCCGCAGGGCTGCTGCTCGCCCGCTCGCTGCGGGAATGCC